GTTTTCCAGAGGTAGGGGGGAGGCTAGCGAGCGATCTGATCTATTCATCTAGCTATCTATCGAGCGAGCGAGCGAGCGAGCGAGCGAGCGAGCGAGGCGAGGCGAGCGAGCGAGCGAGCGAGAAGCGAGGAGGAGCGAGCGAGCGAGCGAGAGAGCGAGCGAGCGAGCGAGCGAGCGGCGAGCGAGCGAGCGAGCGAGCGAGCGAGCGAGCGAGCGAGCGAGCGAGCGAGCGAAGCGAGCGATGCGAGCGAGCGCAGCGAGCGAGCGAGCGAGAGCGAGCGAGCGAGCGAGCGAGCGAGCGAGCGAGCGAGCGAGCAGCGAGCGAGAGAGCGAGCGAGCGAGCGAGCGAGCGAGCGAGCGAGCGAGCGAGCGAGCGAGCGAGCGAGCGAGCGAGCGAGCGAGCGAGGAGCGAGCGAGCGAGCGAGCGAGCGAGCGAGCGAGCGAGCGAGCGAGCGAGCGAGCGAGCGAGCGAGCGAGCGGAGAGCGAGCGAGCGAGGCGAGCGAGCGAGCGAGCGAGCGAGCGAGCGAGCGAGCGAGCGAGCGAGCGAGCGAGCGAGCAGCGAGCAGCGAGCGAGCGAGCGAGCGAGCGAGCGAGCGAGCGAGCGAGCGAGCGAGCGAGCGAGCGAGAGAGCGAGCGAGCGAGCGAGCGAGCGAGCGAGCGAGCGAGCGAGCGAGCGAGCGAGCGGAGCGAGCGAGCGAGCGAGCTGCGAGCGAGCGAGCGAGGCGAGCGAGCAGCTAAGCGAGAGCGAGCGAGCTAGCAGCGAGCGAGCGAGCGAGCGAGCGAGCGAGCGAGCGAGCGAGCGAGCTAGCAGCGATGAGCGAGCGAACGAGCGAGCGAGAGATCTAGCGAGGAGCGAGCTAGAGCTATCTATCGAGCGAGCTATCTATCTCATCTATATATCTATCATCGATCTATATCTATATCTATATCTATCTATCTATCTAACTACTCACCATTTGGTCCCTTGCGAGTTACACCCTTATATTCGATAACACCACGCTCCGACAGGGATTGCATAAAACGCAATACAGCCATTTCCAAACCAACTAATTCAACTGCTGAACCATCTCTAGGCGTATTAGGGCGACCTCTATTGCCGGCCTTCTCCGAAGAACCCATTTTATCCATCCAGGTACCGCAATTCCATTGATTGCCACCAAATACAAAACCGGTCTCAGGATGAATACCGATTTGATTATTAAAACCATTATCTGTCATATGAGCATCAATTTCATAGCCAGCATTACGTTCACGATATTGCAAACCTTGGAAATGTACTTGCAAAGCCTCTTGCATGACATCGATCAAAACCTGATCAAATTGGCCAGCGCCATGAGGTGCGGAATCATCGTAGGGGAAAATGCGAGAAACTTTATCTTTTAAAATATCTTTACCATGAGGAGCTTCCTCAACATATTGCTTAATACTATGCAACCACCACCAAACGGCATCGCGACAATTGAAGCGTGGTTTAGAGCCATTATCCAAAAGATTAGGTATCAAACCATGACGCAGACATTCGCCGAAACCCAAGATAATATAACGGGCTTCATTGAAACGACCAGTCAGCAACATGAGTCCACGTAGTGAAATGAAAGTATCACGACCCCAACAACGCATGTAGCCAGTAGAGAAGTGAGGTAAACCAGCTGATAAGGTAACACATTGTGCTGGTGGTTTGGTGGCGCCAAGGCGGGGCTTAAAGCAGGCAAATTTGCTGACTTGCAAGCGGCCAAGAACTGTAGAGTAGCCAAGGCCAAGGTTTGAGGGAAATCATGACCTTCACGTATATGTTCGGGCATTAGTTGATAGACACGTTGTACCATGATATTATAAATACCACTGACCAAAGCATCAAAATAGCAAGGTATCAAGTAGCGTGGAATATTTTTCATGGGTTCAAAGGCCGATCTAATCCAAGCGGCCAAGGGTTTTGTACTTTCAGTATGGGACAAACGATCCGAAATATAATCTAGAATAATATATTTAGCATGTTAGTGAAATTTTAAGCTTTTTGGCCTAAGAAGACTTACCCATCATCCAGTCACCACTACGCAAGTTATTGCACAAAGGATGACCCAAATCATTGCGTGGAGAAATTTCCGTTAAAAGTGAAACAAAACCTTGCAGGCCGCAATAAACGATTTGACCCCAATCAGGTATATCATAGGCAGCACCTCCATAACCTGCATCACGTTCTTCTTGATCACAAGTAAACAAAATTCTATTTAAGTCTGTCAAGTCAAGCTTTTCAGCAATTTTTTGTAATTCATTAAAAGCAGGACCTTCTTCGTGATGTAGAGATTTGGTGAGTGTATGTAAAGTTTCAAAGCTAGTATGTAACTCCGGTTTCAAAGAAGTTCTTTAAGAAAATATTAAAAATAATATTGATTTTACTTTTATCTGGAAGTTTTGATTACCTTATAGCCACCACAGAACCAGGTTTCAAATTAACAATTTCCAATTGTGTTATATTTCCATCCATATAGGGCACTATACGGAAGACTTGTGATTTAGGACAAGGGTATGTGTTCCCTTAAAGTCAATTGGAATTGATTGAAACCATTGAGAACATTTGGATTCTTTTGATGAGGAGCTGGACGATCGAATGGTTTATCTCCCTTCAATGTTAATTCGGCCTCTAAAATGATCTCATCCAGAATACCCTCAAAACGTAAAGGTCTTACAAATGTGGGACCAGCATTGGGATGAGGATAACCAAACACGGTATGAGCTATCAAAATAACACTTTGATGGGTGGTGGAGAATGACGTGTTACTGCCACAATATCAGGATTCATTTGATCAACAAAGACCTGGGTAAAACCTTCTTCCGCCAGCTGACCATGCAAAATATTTAAAGCTCTCTTGGCGGCTATAATACCGCTCTTGAAATCAACACCTTTGCCCCATTCCTGGTAGGGACGTTTCTTCATCAACCACATGAATCTGTTTGTAAAAAGTATTATCTTTATATTTTGAAATTAATTTGTAAATTGTTCCATTAAACTTACATGATGAGGCACCAATTCATCGTAGCCACGATTGCTACCAGTGGCACAAGAAGCCATAGCTACTAGAGCTGCCGAAGGCAAAAGATCATAGACAGTTTCTTTCTCCACCGGTGAGGGGTTATCATGAGTCAAATCCATGAACAAAGCATGAGCTATGCTAGGAGCCAAATCACGATTAGGATTTTCCAAGAAGCTCCAACCGGTTCACCCGCCATAACGATATACTAAACGTCCCTCCTCATGGGAATCCCAAGCAGATAAGGCTTCTCTAATCAACGATGTTATGCCCAAACGATTAACGAAAACATTGTCGGTAGCATCTGAGTTAGTGAATAACTCAGCGACAACATATAATTGGGATTAACTTCACGAGCAGCATCCAAAAGGTACTCGGCCACATGCAACGGAGTCGAATGGCAATTATCCAAACGAACACCATCAAAAATACGAGCTGTTGTTACCACATACTCCTTCATATGACTCCACAAATAAGGACTTTCTTCGGGACGACGACCATAACGCAATTTGACACTATCACCCAGGCAATAAGTTCTCTCTTCAAATAAACATTAGCACGACCAGGCTGTTCTTCAGCAAAGTCCTTTAAGGGATCACTGGCTCCCATAACCCAACCGTTGTGAGCCATAAAGAATTCACCCATTTTACCATACATACCCTCCTCAATTTCCAACAACTCTGCCGAGAGCTTTAGTTTTAGTGAAATATTGCATAAATACTGGGATGTTTAATAGAAATTTCACTAATTCTGGGACCATCCTCCTGTACACGTCATATCTAACACCAGCCAAACAGTTCTCAATAGCATAGTTAAGATAATCTTGGATTCACAAC